GTTTTTCTTCTGTTTTTTAAATGTTTGCCTCTGATTATCTTAATTCAATAAAACTGAACAAATTAAGTACTATATGAAGTACATTGTTTCAGTCATGGCAGGTTTTGAGCAAATTTCAAACGTTTTTGAATATGTATTTTTTTTCACAATGAAAAAAACATTTGTGCATATAAACGAATGGGTTGTTATGTTGGCTGAAATCAATTCAGCTGCTTCAGTTTCAGGCCAACTCTTGGAAGTGTGAATTTTGAGTTAAAAAATGGGAACTATATCATATCAGGAATATCTTGAGTTAAAAGACTGCTGAGCTGGTTCTAATTAGAGAGCAATTCGGAATTCTAATTCTCAGTCCTGGTAAATAATCTTTTTGCTTTACAAGCTTCTTGTGAAGGTTTATAAGATTAGGGTTGAATACTTCCTGCTGCACTGTGTGTACAAAAAGGAGGAGAGGAGATGAAAATGAGAAAATTGCTGCGGAGGAAGTAGTGACTGACTGCAGGTGTTTGGCAGATTAGCAGCCCCAGCAGGTTGCTAGTGGTTGGATGTTTGCCTTTTCCCAATCTTCATGGTGCTTTGTCCCCAGACACAGTGACACGTTGTCATGGCAGGGGCAGTGGCAAGTGTCTTGCAGGATCAATGGCGTAGTGTGGTATTGCAAAGGAATGCTTTCGTGTACAGAGTGGAGTTTATGTAGGTGGGATCAATGAGTGAATGTGTGTGACGGATGGTAATCTACTCTCATGCATCAGAGATGAAAGGGCAAAGGCAGCTGCCCGGTCATTTTACCCTGGGCCACCCTGCTCGCACACAATGCTTTGAAAAGGGCCTTAAAAATATACACACACATAGGCACAGATTCACATCCACAACGAGATTAAGAATATTTGGGAACATTTTTGACTAAAGATGCCAACAGTTGCCATATAAATTTGCCAAAAACTGGGAGGGAGTTTGGACACATGAGGAAGATGGGTGTTGAGAGGGAGACAGTGAAGGAAATCAGTTTTGACAATACGTTGCCAAGCAACCCTCAACACTAATGAAGCTCGGTTTGATAACTTGTTGATAACACAGGCGGGTAAACTGATGTGTGTGTCCATGTGTGTGTGCTCATGCAGTGTTATTAGCGGAGGCGGTGCAAAAAATCCCTGCTGAGATGAACCAAAAGGACAGATAAGGCAAGGGACCTGCTATTAAAGGCAGGGTTAGTGGGCTTTGGGAACTTTTGTTTCCCAATCCCAGTCTCACACGCACTAGTGGAACAAAAAACTTCAGCAGACCCTCATTTAATAATGAATCACACAAGAGGACCAAAGGAGTGGTGCTTAAACATTTTTGTTTGTTTTTTATTCAATCTTTTTTCCAAACCAGGAATGTACTAGTTTTTTCCTCTCTTTAGAGGTGTGGTGGAAGGGAGGAGCAGAGGTAAAGAAAGGGAGGGACAAGGGTTCAAGGGTCGCGGTGATGAGTAGACAAGGGGGAAAGAAGAAGAGAGGAAGAGGAGGAGAGGACACAAAAAAAACCCTTCTCACACAGAGGTGTCCCAAATACAAAGTCTCAACACATCACATATGAGAGCCACCTCGTTCCGCAGCCTCCCCTCACTGGCTATTGGCACAAAGAAGCACACACACTCTCAGACTTCATTTACACACACACACGCGCGCACTTTAACCAACGGGGAGGTTAGGGAGGCGTTTATTTTTTTCTGCTCCATGTACCATAGAAACAGCACCTTCTTCTTTCTCTTTTAAACATGAAAACCACCGGCTGCGTCCAAGAAAAGCCAACACATTGGGTCAATCAAACACAAACAGTGAGAGCCAGCGACACAACTTTGAAATTACATCGACGTGAAAATCAAAAACTTAAAAAACGTTGAGTCCAAGAGATACTTGACATTCTGGTGCGAGAGAGAGGGGAGAGGGAGCGAAATGGATAAAGCGGGGCAGTGGCTTTTTTTGTCTGAGTCGACATCCTAAAGTCCAAGAAGTTTTTTGTTCTGAACAAAATACTGTCATTTTGGATTAGAGCACTCCAAAATGTTGCTGAGGTTGTTCAACAGAGAGTAAAAGACACTTCATTTGGCTTGGAGGGTTTTTTTAGGTACTTTGAGCATGTTTAAATAGACACAAACTTAACAGGTTACATAAAACAAACACGTTGGTAGTAGCACAAAAGACTTTGAGGTGCCTTTTTCCTCCCTCTCTTACTGAAATCAGTTTTTGATACAAATACAATCCAAAATCCTCATTTATGGTACAAAAACGATATCTGAACATTATCATGTTTCTGAACAAAGTCATTTCAGACAAATGTGACACTTAAAGGATTATATGATACTGATACAAAACACAGTAGAGAAATGTCGAAAGGTTCAGATTTAACACTGGCTTCACACAGAAAATATGGCAACAACACTGGAGGCTTTATGTGTATGTGTGTGTGTGTCTAAACAACTTAAAAGCTTTCTGGTGCCATCCAGTTTACACATAAGCCATAAAAATGTTTGAGCAACACAAAACAGCTTTATTAGTATGCACATGTGAGCGTATTGCACCTCTGAACACAGCCATGAGCTGTGGCCCTCCTAGTCGAGGTGCTGGGCACTAGTGTGTCTATGCAAGAGAACGTGTGTGTGTGTATGCGTGTGAGAGAGACAGAGAGAGAGAGAGCATGTGAAGTAGAAGAGAAAACACAACACATACAATCGCCCTCTCCATCCCCTCCATGTCCATCGAGTTAGTTTTAATCACAGAAACACAGAGTCATATGAAAGTAATCAGCTTTTCTGTTGAGTGCGGGTGAAAGTCTATGAGTGAACGTGTGTCCTTAAATGCAATCAGTAAGCATTTGTGACAGTCATTAAATCGTGTGAAATTTGCGTTAGGCTGTGTGGCAGGTTGCGTTTGTGTTGCACAGAGAGAAACGGGGTGTACTGACTGTCTGAGGGATTTCTCTCATGAGTATCCACTGCTGGCTGTGTACGGTGGGTGTGTGCTTTTATCTTAAATGGGAGCATGTGTCTGTTGTGTGACACACAGAGATGCGTTTCAACACAAATTTTTGGCGGAAAAGAGGAACATATCTGAAATGTGCCATCTCATGTTAAAATAAAGTGTGTAGGAGTCCAATCACAGCGGAGGTGTGTAAGTGTTTTCGTGTGAGACGAGGTCTCTCCTTTCCATGTTAAGAGTTCAACTCCTTTTATGTCCATTTTGGCTGTCAATCCAAACCTCCGATGAGGAGAGTCCCTCCATCCTTCCTTCAATTCTCACTCCTGCTGTTCTCATCCTCCCCTCAACTTCCTCTCTTTAGTGTGCAATGGCTTCACAGTCTTTTCTTTTCCTCGTTTCCCTCCTTTTCTCCATCTCATTTTTTAAGTTCTGCATTCAGACACTGCTTTATTCCTCCGCCTGAGACAGCGCTCACCCTCCTTTATTCCTCTTTTTCCATTTGTCCCCCTTTGCCTCCCCTTCCCCACCATCACCACCTCTCCCCCACAGCAACCTCTTTTTTCTTCTGTATTGAAAAAAGGAATTAAAAAAAAGGGGGGGAAAAACTTTCATAGATGATTCTACCTCAACACTTCCACAAACGAGGTCTAGACCTCAAAACTACAGCATAGTACAAGGAGCTATAAAAATATACACAGAGTAGGCCCTAGGGGAGAGGAGGGAGTGTAGGAGAGAGAGAGAATGAAAGAGAGAAGAGATAAAAACAACCTCTGTTTGCCAGAAAGAAAGAAACAAACAAGGGATTAAATTAATATACAACGCAAAGGGAAAAGGCAGGTAATAAGCTCACTCAAAGTTGTGAAACACAAAGTATCTTGTAAAAAAAAATGTCTAGCAACAGATGTGTAGTTTAACAGAGTGGGTAAAAATAATAAACCAGAAAAAAATCAGAAAAAAAAACATCTAGAAATTATTTACTGGATATTCATATATATAATCTATAAGTGTTGATAGCCATAAAAAATCTCACTTTTTTGATATTCGCTCACTATTTTGTGTTTTGGTATTTAAGACAAGTCTAAAGAACACATACACACATAATCACGCACATACAAAGCACACACACGCACCAACTAAAACCCACGCACGCATATGCAAACGTGCTGAAGCACACTAACTGCACACACACGTCTAATGTGGAGCAGCAGGTCCATAATTAATATCCGAGTTGAATGCACACTCACACCGTCTTATGCACGCACGCACACACTCACACACACATTATTAAAATATACAAGATTCTGAGTGTCACCGATTGGTCAGACCTCCTCAGGCCTGGGCTTGGTCAAAAGAGTATTACTTAGACATGCCAACGAGGCGAGTCCGAGGCCCCCATTTTCTCAGGAGAAACAATCACAAACAATCTATGATTCTATTGTTGAGTTAACGCCAGGGGCTGGTCTCTGGTTGGCTGAGTGAGCTCGGAGGGGCTGGGATGGTGGTCTAGGCGGGTGTAGCCTCTGCGAATCAGAGTTCTCTGGTTGCTAAGTGGGGTTAGGGCTATAGTCTTTTTTCTTTTTTCTTGAAGTCCTTTTCAATCTTTTTTTTTTTCTTTTTTAAAACATTACATGTCCCAGCACCAGGTCCATACTGAATAAGAGGGGGGTGACTTTTCAAGAACGCACGGGTGGGGCTCATTTAGCTCTGAGTTGACAAGGCGGGGGCACTCAGAGCCTCTTGCCCATTTATTCGGGCCTTGTTAAGAAGGTACGGTTAGGACATTACCCCTCACAGACACTTAAAGGCCCAGTTGTGTAAGAATGGGTTGGGGTGGTTTATTCAGCTGGAAACACAACTGTGGCTGGGGTTGAGGGCTCACATGGCGAGGAATGGAGGGTCCAGTTGGACAATACTTGTAGTATTGAGGCAATCGGGAATGGAACTGTGATGGCGAGCTGGCTGTGGCCTTGTTTGGAGTGGGGGGCTGGTCGGTGATGGGTGGAGGCAGGTGGGTGTGTCCAGTTGGCCAGAGCAGTTGCTGTCTCATACTTTGTAGTAAATGTTGGCTGGGCTCTGAGGGGGCATCTCCTGGACGATGTAGACAGGGTGTCCATAGTCCCCGCTCACCTTCTCGTAGTGTGGGCAGTAGGCCGAGTCCGACGTCCTCAGAGGGATGATGATGTCGCTGGGCTCAGAACCGTTGTTGTTTGAGCTGGAGATGCCCCCGCCGCCGCCCCGCTTGGGGCTGGTGAGGGAGGACAGTGACAGAGGAGGGTGGTGGGTGTCTGAGTGCTTTGCGTGCCTCCGCCGGTAGCACACGACACAGATCACAGCTGTGACCAGCAGGAGGAAGGCGGAGCCTCCTGCAGCGCCCGCGATGACAGCGATGTTGGAGGACTGGAGGGGCCCATTCTCATCTCCACCTTCCTCTCCAAAAGGGCCTCGAGGGTGGGTGGAGTTTCCAGTTCCACCTGAGGAAAAAACAAAGAAAAAAGTCATCGTGAAAAAAACATTACTCCAAAATCTACAGTATAAGCAACGGCTCTCAGGACCTCTACAATAAATGCCTTTTAGCCTTGACAAATAAACTAGAGGAATATTAGAGCTAACTTTCACAACATGTGCTTTCATGAGCCTTTGGAAAAACATTCCACTGCTTATGGCTCTGCACCACAAAAACATGAGTAATGATGATGGTTTAGCTCAACGAGAAGTGGCAGCACTGACCTAACCCAGTGGAATGCAGCAAGCATGCTGCAAATCTTACAGAAGCTTATTTGTGGTCTCTTTATGGATGTGACGAAGTGGACAGCAGTGCTTATAAAACACGGGGGAATGTCCATGTGGCTGCACTGTACAGTATATGCTTTTGTGGAAACCCTGGCTAAACCGCAGTGTGTATCAAGATAATACACCATGTTTCCCTAACCTTAACAATGGCATCTACTAGTATTACAGCCAGCCACATAAAGAGAGCCTCTTTGCTTTGCCTCTACCCCTAGACCACACACTCCGCCTGCCCACTAGCCTTCCTGCCTGCCTGTCTTTTCTTCTGGGTATCTGTTTATCGAACTGTTGGTCAGGCTATCTTTCCGTTTGTCAACCCTCTTCTGCCTCCGTCTGTTACACGTTCACCCGAAACCCAAGATCGTAACAGTTGTCTCTGCAGGAGGTCGGGTCAGAACTCAGCAGGTGAACTCCGGTCTGGAGGTGTGTATGTGAGTATACATCTGTGCTTATGTTTATAGAATGGGGACGGTTGGGGGTGGCTCTGGCACTGGACCGTGTGAGCTGGAGTTGTAGAACTGGTTAAGGCTGAGATGAAGCCTTTGGATTGGTCCATCATTATTCTTGGCACACATCCCTTTTGTTTTTGCCCTTCCTGTGTCTTCTCGGTTTCCTCCCCCTCTTTTTCCGTGGCCCTCTCTATCTTTGGGTTATTGTAGCCGTAATGACCTACCTTGCTCTGAGCTCAGTGCCTAGCAACACAGGCACACTCACACACTGAGACACTGGCATACACAATCATGCAAGTAGATGCACGAAAGCGCACTCCACCGTGCCCCTTCTGCTCAGCCCCCCCGTTGCGCTGGACTGACTAGGAGCAAAGCTCTAATGCCGGACGTCCATTACACTCCCTACTCCTCCTCTCGCTTTCTTCTTCCCTCCATTAACCCGACATCCCTCACTTGCTACCTCTATTATAACTGCCGCTTTTCACTAACTCTCTTTATTTCATCTTATTCCTTTACCTCTCCTGTGCCTCCTTCTGATATTGTTAAATATTGTGTTTTCCTGTTTTTTTCTAAAGCGTTATTATCCCCCACTGTACATCCTCAGTAAAATTCCTTTTAAAGATGCATAAAAAAAAACTTTAAAAAGTTTGACTAAAGCAAAGTCTTGCATGTTTTCCTTAATTATCTTTATATGAATGCATTACACAGGTCTGCACAAGAAGATAAAGTACTGACCCATGTTGGATGTTTGAATATCAGTGCCATCTAAAGCTCCATGTTTTCAGGGCGCAAACCAATTTGCAGAAAGAAGATTCATGCTGCTTTAGCAGATCTTCCTCACACGTTGCAGATAACAATCATCAGGAGCACATTATTCTCTGATATTAAACAAATCTATGGACGTTTATTCCCAATGGACTGTAAAGAGTGAATTAGCAGTGAGTGTATAATTGTCAGTGTGTTTTGATTTGGCTGAGTGGAGGTTTCAGCAAATTAGGTGACAGAGTATGAAAACTTATAATTTAAATGCTTTGCTAGCTCGTATCCCAATAATATATTTGCATTTGTTTACAGTCGAAGCTCAAATCAGAAGAGACAACACACGGAGATACACCCTGCAAAACCTGAGATGATTGAAAGGAAGATTAGTAATTTTAGTGAAACTGCTGTGTCAGAATAATCAAAACAGTAATCTCAGACGTTTGGTTAAGTGTGTGTTAATATGCCCTTGTGTGAGAGTAAAAAATGCGTGAAATACGCTGTTATGTGTGTGATTAAATCATTCATGTAGTAAGTAAGTTATTTCACAGATTCAAGCAAAGATAATGCTTACTATTGTCGCTACCTTCACACATACCGTCCCCCATACACAAAGACAAGTAAATGGAAAAGGTGTGAATGCATCATTTCACACGTTTGCCATGGTACACAAATCCAACATCACAAAAAGAGAAAAAAGAAATGAATGCAGCTCAGAGTGAATCATGTTCTTTCCCCTCCACTGAATAACTTTGAGGTGGAGCATGAATCTAGCCTCTCTCCATTTTAATACTCCTGTATTCCCCGCTCCTCTTTGCTTTTCAATTATTCCTCTTTCTCCTCCTCATGTGCCCCCCACTTCTACTCAGTCTGTCCCATCACCCCCTCATGCCTCTTATCCTCTCTTCCCTTATCTTTTTGTAAGTCAAGTTTATTTCTGTCATTCCCTCTTTCTTTCAGTCTCTTGACAGAACTACTGAATCCAGGCCGTCCAAACTAATGACAACAATAACTCTTAAAAATTGTTGCAGCTTCTCTCTCCCTATATCCCCCTCTCTCTTTCATCCTCCCTCTTTTTCTTGTCTTTCTCCCAGGGTAGCTATTAGCCATCCATTCCCCGCCTGCAGCACTTAGCTCGAAGGGCCGGGTGCAGAGACGAAGGAGGAGAAGGATAGAGAGCAAGAAAAATATGGAATTAAACAGAGAGATCCGCAGATGTCACCGCTGCACATTCTCCATCTGTTGCCTCCTCCCTCCCTCTCCCTGCAGCTTTTCTTTATATCTCCCCGTCTATGCTTATTTCCTCCATCCATTTTGTGGATGGATCTGCTGGGGATTATCTCCTTTTGGTTCCCCGCTTACCTGGGTTTCTGTTGGTGGTGCGTCCCGCTGGCGGCTCCTTCTTTGGAGGCAGTCCATATGGGCCTGGGGAGAAAAAATAAGGGAGGAATTACAGAAATTATCTAGTACAACTGCCAGTGCTCAAACCAACAGATGATATTAGAAAAGAGAGGCACAGCCAGAAAAGTAATCTAAACTGAGGAGGTCTAATAAACACTTTCCTCCCCTTAACTTCTCATTATAGGGGAGCACATATTGACAGGGCTTCGATGTGTCGCGTATGAGCTCTTTCCCATTTGTTAATATGGGAAACTAAAGAGATGCTGTTTGTTGTTTTGGCCTGAGTGAGTTTTCACAAGGCCATAACGGCTTGTAATCTGTAGTCGCTAAATCAGGCCATCTGTCTAGCAAGCCCTCAGTGATGGTGATGGCATTAACGTGCATTTATGTGGAACATGTGCACATACACACAAAATGCTTCCATTGTATAAGTGCTACTCATCAAAAGTGAATGAGATGGTTAAAAATATACTAATTTCATTTGCCTCTGGACCATCTGTCCAACAGTAGAATGCAATAAGAGTATTATGTAGGGCTAAGACCAGTCAGATCTGCAGTTCATGCAACATCTTATTTCAAATAGAAATATGGACAAAATATATACTATCATGGGGCATGAACAAAATGCCAACATATTGTTATTGATATTTCAGATACTTATATTGCAAAACGCATATTTGATTACCCAAATATAGGAAATTTACTTGTCAAGAACCTTTTTATTGGTCCTCTATAAAAAACAAAAATGCCCAAAAAGTAAGTAGAAGTGAAAAGAAATGGTATGGAGGCACATTAAATTGCAATAAGTCAGTAGCAGCTCTTATATGTACAGATGGGCAGAAGTTCAGTGATGATTGCTATAAGCTGTGTCTATGAAACATGGAGCAATTTGATGCTTGTGATCTTCAGTCCTAACGTGTGCAGCAGCAAATTGTCTTACGTTCAACATTCGATATGTTTTCCATACTCTGCTGTGAGCACGCTGTAATGAGGTAATGACACGTGCAAACTTTTTGACTGTGCTTATATTCACACTAATTCCTCCCATCTTCTTGCGATTTATACAAGCTGCTCTGTGAGTGTGACGTGCACAGTCATCAATCTATATAAAGTGACATTTATAAAAGCATAAGGCCAGCATTGGCCAGCAGCTCCCTTTTGACTGTTGACCAAACAAAAGTTGGGGGGGGGGGGGTTGCTGACTGACTGAATCAATAGGAACCGATCTGTGGCCAGCAAGGGCAAGGGGAGGGAGGTATAAGGCACTGTGTGTGTCTATGTGACAGATCCACAGAGCAAGAAAGACAGATAAAGAATAAAAGAAAGACGACAGATCGATGTATGCGAGTGGGACTAAGGTGCAAATGTGTGTGTTCCTCGAATCAGAGCACAGCAACATATCTCATCAGAGATCACCACGAAGCGGCACGCCGCTTATTTAGACGACAAACAACACAGGCGTGACCTTTCAGCCACACAGCAGATAAGATGGGAAAACGGTGGAAAAGAGTGGAAATGAAAGCAAATGGCAGCTGTAAGAAGAGATGGCTGGCATGCAAAGTGAAAGGTAGATGATGAGGAGAGGGAAAATGGGAATTTGAAAAGCAAGTGAGTGAGATTGTTTGAAGAAAAGGGGTTGGGGATGAGGTTAGAGAAGGACTGAATAGAGAAACAGAAAGAGGCAAGAATAATGAAAACAGATAGAAAAGGCATTAAGGCTTATATATATATATATGTATAAATAGATATAAAAGAACAAGGTAGCTGTTCTGCTGCCTGTGTGGTGAAAGAAACAGGGGAAATAGTGTGAGACGTGGTATTTCTATTGAGCTAAGCTGACTGTGCTGATGTTGTGGGCTGATAGAGCCACAACAGCGTCACTTGGCTCTTTGCTGAAGAGAACCTCCAATACACTGGGTCTGATAACACAGCACAGATCAAAGAAAAAGAAATAGGCGAGTGTTTGTAGTGTGTGCGCGTATGTGAGGGCGGTCATGTGAAGGACAGGTGCCTATTACGGGTAAGAATGTTCGGGTCAGTGAAAACGCTCAAATGAGTTTTTTAGTAAAGAAAAAAACAGCATGAGAGGGTCATTACCTCTGAATATTTTCCAAACAAATTAGAAATCTGCACAGCAACGAGTCATTAAAAATCACTGACCGTGTGCTTTAACACAGAATGGAGTCATTTTGTTGTGCTAGCAGGTCTACTGCGTCGGGACGTGTGTGTTCGGTGTGTGTTCACACGGCTGCATGTACACCTCTGCGTCCATGTTGGTCATTTATGCCCTTGCATGTCTGAGCTAATGTTTATGTACAGACGGGGGTGTGTGTGTGTGTGTGTGAGCGCGTGTGTGTCCTGTATGAGTCAGTAGCAGTTAAAAGCCAGAGCGAAAAGGGAGTCAACAGGGCTCATTAGAGCTGACTGATCCCACACTTCTGCGCTGTTCTCACCACTTAACGAGCCTTAATATGCTCAGCAAGAACACACACACGCACACACACACACACAGACAGACACGCACACACAGAAAGGTACGTGCCAGTGTAGGCTTGTACTGCATGTGTGTGTAAGACAGAGAAAGATTAGAGAGATGGTTTAGAAGTGGAAGAGGCTGCATGCAAGATAAGGTGCACTAATGAATGTGTGCTGCTCCGTTCTGCACAGATGAGGTGGACCAGAGCCAGCGTGTTCTGATCACACTGTGTGTTAAGTAATTTGATTATGTGCAATGAACAAAAACAGTGTGCATGGAGAAGACTTCATCACATGCACTATGCATGGGGGATGTGTGTGGAGAGAAAAACAGGGAAATAGAGACAAAATAACTTACTCTGTCCCACTTTCAGGACCACCTTCATGCCTTGCGTAGCACACACTCCTCCTCTCATGCTATCCAGGCCTTGACGCGTCCCATCTGACGTAGCTGGAGGGATGGACACAAAGTTACACAATTAAACACATTGCAGGTTGGCACACAGACACATAGAAACACCTCCAGTCATTTGCCAAAGCCACACATAATCACTTTCTCATAATCTAGAGACAAAGCAAACACTAGCTTCTATTCATATGGTCAGCCATTCCAGCGAGTCATTCAGTGACATTTGCAGAGGCAACGATTTAAAACTCAACCAGAAGCTCTGAAATGTCAAACTACGAGGCGGCAGCACTTTAATAAGTCCTCATTTAGCAGTCTGCTGGAATTCATTAACACCCCCGCCATGCTGTATGGACTCAACTGCTTGCAATCAACTGCAATTGCTGCTCAGGCTGGAGGAAAAGCTGACGGGGGGTAGAGCAGAGACTGGCCGATGGGAAAAAAAGGATGGTAATCCAATCAAGAGCGTATATGAAATAAAATGGAGCCCCTGAGACGCATATCACTGTGCGATTTGAGTGAAAAACTGGACTTGATTTATTAGAATACAGACTCCGCAGGATGAGTCAAAGCTGCCACTGGTAATACCCCATTACTATCACTGCTTATGTTTTAATTAAGAGAATTAAAGAGATTCTTTTCATTCACAACTGGAGGACTTAATGTGCATTTTTAAGCCATGAAAGGCTCTTTTTATATTGAAGGGAAAAAATGCAGCACTTAAGTGAAAACCATAGGGATACAGATTTGGATTTAAAACCTAAAAATACTTAGGAATCAACACAGATCCAATAGTGCTCAACAAAGGTGTATAGTCAAGAAGATAATGTTCAAGAATTATTGCGGTATTGGGAAAGAAAAGAAAACACACTCTATAAGGTTTAAAAACTCAAATGGTCCTGAAAGTTACCACATTTACACAGTCTGAACCCTCTTTGATAAAGCCACATGCAAAACCTCTCCATGTTTCTCTTCCTTAAGATTCGCCAAAACAAGGATCACAGGGATAGGTATTAAATAATCTCAAATAAGAGTCTCTCTATAGATTTGAAGACATTAACGTATTTGTTTTTGCAAACATTTCCTCTTAAATAAAGCACGTCAGTGAGTGCGTTAAATACCAGTCGTCTGTAGGTCAAAAAGGGTGAAAGACAGTCAAAGCAGGGGAGCGGAGGAGGGCTTTCAAGATGGGAGGAGGGGTGGAAGAAGAGCAAAAAAAGAACCAAGGGACAGAAATACAACAACAGAGATGGTGAGAGAAGAGAGAGAAGAGAGAGAAAAGTGAGAAACGAAGAGATGAGAGAGGCACTCATATTGAGAATCACACCTCTTGCAGTCGAAGCGCCATCAGTTGTGCAACCGGTCTTTTACACAAATGCTCTCGAAGTGTCAGGCTGTGTTTTCACTCACCACTTCATATCACTGAGGCACCAACTTCTATCAATATTTTTATGGTCTGAATTGGGATGGATGTTTATATTTATATACATTTTTTATAAAAAATGAAATGATTTTCTATAGGGCTAATGATTAGCCTGTTTGAAGTGTTGCACAGAAAATGAGAAAAAAAGAAAAAAAGGAGAGACATAGGATGGCCCAGAAGGGAGAGTAAGTAAGGTGAGAAAAAAAGGCAGCTTTACTTCTAACACCTCTCTCTTTCTATATCTCTCCATCCCTGCAGGAGGCAGAGTGTGAAAGCAGGACGAGGAGGAGAGCAGGTGGAGGTCAAGGGAAAATGCAGTATCGTAGGAAAATCAAAAGACATGAGGATGGTTTAAATAAAATGTATTTCAAAACTTTGCACGTTCCACTGGTTTTGTTGTGTTACTATCTACACATATATCATAATGGTCTTTTCTTCTTTGTGCGATCTGTCAAACATTTACTCCAAGGTAAATGTAATTGATTTTAATTCAATTCAGATGAATTAAACAGTGTGCATTCAATGGGGTTCCCTAATCTGGGTTTCAATTAAAATTACATGCTTTTTAAGTATATCTAGTTCTGATGTCATGTTTATGTTGTAGCAACAGCTTATAAAGACCACTGAAAATTCTAAAGGGAATTTTCAATCTGCTTGAGGGTGCTGTCCAGTTCAGTTTTGTGTCATCGCAATATTCTCTGATTTCCTCAAATTACTGTTGAAGTCAATCAGTCAGAAGGATATGTATATTAATACAAGGTAAAACCCCCCAAATGTTCCATGTTCCCAAGTGACAACTGTGTACACAATGTCCATGCACTTTTTTGCATTTTGTTTCATGCATTTTACTCCAAATAATACTTAAATTTCCTAAAGATTTTGCGTAAATAATACCTACATATTTAAAAAAAAAATAGCTGCAGATGCATCGTGTCCCATTTCTTTGCGTACTGCTGTCCTGCAGCACTTTGTGTTTGAAAACATCGCCAGGACAATTAAAGATAAGAAAGCCAGAAAAGTTTAGAATACAGACTTCAGTAGATGACAATAGTGATTGCATGGGCTTACCCTCTTCTACAACCCAGGACAAGGGGCAGTGGAAGAGATAACAAGACTGAGCTGCAGGGATACAAAACGAAGCAAGGTCTATGATTTCTGAGAGTAATAAGTGCTGACACACGAAGCAGGACAACAAGGTGACAGGAGGCAGGGGAGGTGAGGATGACCAGGGAGAGGAACGGAGGAGGTGGAGGAAGTCGTGCAGGGAGGAAAAGCATCGACACTGATTGCGTGTGACAAGCTTTAGGTGATATGATGGACACAGGAGACTATGAGAGACCATGGAGAGACAAAGGGAGCCTGTAGGGAGACAAGATCTGAGAGAGGAGCAAGATGGCAGAGGAAAAAGTGGGGGAGTTAAAAACAGAAAGTAAGGAGAGAGTTTAAATGGCATGATAGATAGCAGACAGGTAAAAGACTCTAATGTCTCCATTACAGAAAAGTGGAGCAGTAATGGATACAAAGAAGAGGGAGAGACAAAGAGAGTGTGGACTGGTGCGCCATATTGAACCTAGAGAGCTCCCACAAATGTGATTTTGCAAATGAGAGCTATTTTTTTAATAATCATCAACAGGTCACAAATAACACAAAGACACTTTTGTTAAAGCAGCTAAAAGTATCATGACGAACCCTCTTAACTCCATTAGCTGTGTCAGGGGTGCCACTATTTCTGTGAATCTCAATTTCATGGGAACAAAAGCGAGTAAAGTTCCTTGCTGCTGTGCCCTTGGATCCAAAGTATGCCCCTCCCAATCTCCCATGCTAAATACAAATGTTTCAAATTTTCCTGCACTTGAGGAGGGAGACGATATCAGCAAATCAAGGCAGAAATAATCACAGAACATCTGTGAAATCCTGATGAGAGACAAAGATGAGAGGGAGAGAGATGAGGAGATGTAGGAGTCAGCGTGCTTCCAATCCTTCCCAGCCTCGTCTGGGAGGACAGCGGAGGGAAAAAATTGAGTGGAGAGGAGTGTATAAACCAATCTGGAATTAGATAAGAGGAGAAGGGAGGAAGAAAACATGAAGGAGAAAAAGGGAAGGAGAGGAAGGATGAGTAATTGAGACAATGATCAGCAGTGATGGGGAGATGAGAAGCGCCAGAGGACAGAGGAGAAAAAAAGGGCGTCACTCCGCCATCCTCATTCAACAAGAAGACAGGAGGGAGAGGCGGAGGAAGTGGAAAAACTTAATTAATGAAATAATACCGCAGTCAACCCCAATCAAACACTGCGCCGTGGCGCTACACACGGGGAGGCGGCCGGCGGAGGGGCGGAAGGGCGAGTGTGTTTCTAGTTTATAGAAAAGATCACGCAGAGGAAGAGAGCTTCTGTCTGTGTCACGTATGTTACTGCCAAGGTCAGGTTTGGCCAAGACTCCTCTCTGCTTCCATTATCACTGCTCAAGTTAGCTAACTCTGCCAATAAAGGGAGAAAAAAATATAATTATATCTTACATTGTTAATTTATGCTTTTTAAATGTACACCTCACAACACAAAAACATCCAAGTCACTTGTCTGCTAAATTGAAAATCAAAATGCTTTCAATGCAGTATGTCAATTTATCAAACTAATGGGACACAAAAAGCACTTCATACCAATGCTGCATCTTCTGTGCCTTAAAGACAAAAACCAGGGTCAGAAGACCTAAATTCACTACCATTTAAAAAATGACTGGATAGCAATAAACTAACTGCACACTTTTTTGGATTCCAAATTTAATTTGAAATGTCATATCAATGCCATTTGTGATGCTTTGATTGTTGCAGTTTTTAACCAAGCTCTTTTGTGATCTGAGAGACTAAGGTGGAATATTTATGTACTGCCACATAAATTCAGTGCATGTGGCCAAGTTATTCCAACAGTCCAGGCAGCTATAGTACCACACTCTTAAATTACACACTTGCATTAAGCTTGAAGCAGCAACATTTTTTTTTCCTGATGGCAGCAACATTAAAGGCTGCAAAAATGGGAAAGTGGTACGCAGCAAAATGGGCAGATTACACAACAAACGGAATAAATAAACAAGCAAACAAGAGCCAGGAAGGAACAAAGCGCATTTGTGTTGTGTTTTCTTGAGCTCTAAAGGCACAGGCGTCCTCGTTAGCCTCTGCCTTTCAATGGGGTGTTAGCCACGTTACGAGTGTGTCAGACGAAAAAAACAAAAAAAAAAAGCTTTTGTAAATGCAACGTGAAAAACAAAGAGAATTAGGTGTTCTCTTTTCCTCGGGAGCATGCTGACGCTGGGGGGGCTTGCGTCTCTGAGTGTTTGTGTCACTGTTCACACATGTGCTCCCATCTGTGCAAATCAACGTGTGGCTTTGACTTTACAGTCTTTCTTTTAGTTCCATGTGTTTAAGCTTTCGTACCACATTCTCCAGAAGAGACCAACATTTTTTTTTTTTTTAAACTATGTGAGTCACTTGTGTAGGCTCGAAGTTTGTGTGAGTGAATGCAGCTTGGTTTTAGGGGGTGGGATTTGCTGAATCCTTGAGTTTGAAAGGCTCTAAGAGGTCCATGTGTGTCATCTCGATGATGTAGAAACTGATCTCTTCTCCCTTCAGGCAGCACTGAGGGACCCTGTCTTGCTTC